ACTGGAGCCTCACGAATGATGGATTCTGCAGCCGCAATGAAGTCGACCGGATAGGTATCCATGGTATCGAAGCAAGCGTCATAGCCCAGGACTCTTGTCTGCTCTGCTGTCAGTTCTTTGGAGGATAGATTGTGTACGATATTGGCATGGCAGAGGTTGGCATTCTTTTCGCTCAATGTGGCACCTTACTGCGTTGACGCAGTATGCGGCACCTGTAATTGGCTGTCCTACGGACGACCGAGACCGCCATCACGTGACGCGGAAGCAAGAAATAGTGCTACAGGGCCATTGCAGTCACCTGCATCACTGGAGGATGTGGCAGTATCTATTTCCGTTTTACCTAACATAGAAGTCATCCCCTAGCTTCTTATCCGCATCAACCAGACATACCCAACCCCAAGTGGTGCACCACCCGAGACTCGAACTCGCGACCTTTTTGATCAGAGTCTAACGCTCTAACCACTGACCCACGACCTCGCTGTCTGGGCGGTTCGGATCGAGAATAAGCCCCAAAGCAGAACGGGATAAGTGAGCTCCGGTAGCGATTGGTTAACCTCCATTAATGTGCGTCACTCACCAGGATAACGGGGGCGGCTTTAAGATGAACATGGCGACAGTTTTTCTCCTTAAAATCCCACAAATGACATTCAGAACTAAACTTATGAATTATGCCTAAGGAGTTTTTTTTCACGTCTTGCCCCCCTACTGCAGTTCCATTCTGGCAACGCCACATGTTCTGCGTGCATGTACAAAGAGGGAGTTCAAAGGTATTTACCCATATTTCCCTAATAAAACTGAACTGAACTGAACTGAAACTGTGGTTGTCAATTTATTCCTATCGAAGCATTGCTCCAATTCATTTACAATTTGCCAGAGTCAAAGTCAGAAAAGAGTTGCTGTGGGAAAATAACTTAGCTAGCGTGCCACCACGAAATCCATAAAGAAAGACAACAAAAGCTCTGATCGTTGTTGAGACCTTAAAGTTGTCGGCCTGAGCAATTTCATTATCTAAAAGACTGCCCAAGCAGCATTTTCTAAGCTTGGGAAATCCTGCTTGGGCAGTCAGCTCGCTGTTCCGTATTGGTGAATTCCATACGAGCATTAAAGTTGGGCTTGTAAAATCGATCCAAGTGTGAGTAAATTCACGGCGCATGGCGTGGCGTTGTAATTCAAGTGGTAGTGCGTTGGCTGCGTAAAGGCCTCCCTGCTATGCGGGTTCGACTCCCGTCGACCATTTTTCTCACAACTGGGTCAACTGAATTAAGCAAATCTGCCAAAATCCCCTAAATATTTCAAAGATGACGAACGCACGATCGCAGGGGTGGTACGTGTATTGATCTGAGCTTTCGATATCGTACAGGAGCCCCCCCAGCAACTGCCATCATCACATTTCTCACAAAACACATACCCTGACACAATAAACAATACTCAGTCGACAATCTCGGGCAAGACTGGGGGCAGTGAACACCAACCCTGGTTTGGCCAGCGGCCACTGCTGCCTGAGACAGCAACTTAAGTAGCTGTGCACAATAACGCCCTCTGTTATCTTCTTCTGAACGTCAAGGTAGACAAACCAAGCCTAAATGTCTGCTCAGTCAACTGCCAAGTTAATTTGATCTTAATAACCTTCTTGACCGGAGGCATTCACGGCGTGAAATAATGGGGGCCGCTAATTATATCCACGGCCAACAAGGGCAGAGGTAAAACAAGCCATACAGGCCGGTACTGTTAGGAGC